AGATCATGACCTGAGTCGAAGTCGGGCGCTTAACCAACTGAGACACCCAGGTGCCCCAGAAAACATACATTTTAAAAATTATAAAAATTTCAGTAATAACCTTGTTCCTTTTTTAAAAATGATTTTTAAAGTTTATATATTTATTTTAGAGAGGGAGAGAGTGACAGAGTGCGAGCTGGGGAGGGGCAGAGAGAGAGGAAGAGAGAGAATCCTAAACAAGCTCCACACTCAGCACGGAGCCTGACTGGGGGCTTGATCTCACTACTGTGAGATCATGACCTCAGCCGATAACGAGTTAGACGCTCAACTGACTGAGTCATCCAGGTGCTCCTGTTGCTTCTTTTTGAAAAAGCGTTGTTTTTTTTTTTTATAGAGGACAACGATGCATGAAAATTACTTAGAATTTATTACTAAATGGAATGTTAAAACTGATTATATCCTGAAAGGCAAAAGAACACTAAATCACTTTCCTGAATGATCAGAACATGTGTAATCATATCAGCAGTGATTCCTGTTTCATTTGTCATGCTATCTCATGATACACTAAAAACTTAAGGCCTTAATATTTTTTTTAATGTTTATTTATTTTTGAGAGAGAGACACACACACAGAGTGTGAGCAGGGGAGGGGCAGAAAGAGAGGGGGACACAGAATCTGAAGCAGGCTCCAGACTCTGAGCTGTCAACGCAGAGCCCCATGTGGGGCTTGAGCCCACGGACTGCGAGATCATGACCTGAGCCGAAGTCGGACACTCAACTGACTGAGCCACCCTGGTGCCCTAAGGCTTTAATTTTTTTAACGTCTCAAATTCTGGAGCCTAAAAATTCAGAAAAATTAACCATTCTGTTAAAGCCTTTTTAAAAACTTGAACCCTACATTTGCCATGGAAGTTGACATCTTCTTTCTCTTTTGCTTCTAGAATATCTTGGAAATCCAGATAGAAATATCCAGTTGCCGCATTCAGTGCTAAGTATGGCAAAAGTGAAGTCTCGCCCAGAGCTGTCAGCCATATACTTAATTCACAACCTGTTCACAGAGGAAGTCCTGATAAGAAGTAACATCTATGGCAGTTTGGGGCATGGCTTGTATGCCCTTAATCCGAATAGGATTAACGCTCTTCGAGGTGGGTTACAAGTTGAGTATGTGAGAATAAATAAAAAGCAAATTATGTTACAGAAGGACAGAAATGACAATCCATTCAGTTTGTGTGTATTTTAAGGAAAGATGGAGCTGTAACTAATTCCCTCTTTAGAGCATAACAAGGAGCGTTTTCATAAATTGTGTTCCTTTTGCATTTGGATTTCCCAGGCTAATTGCTCTGTCTTGCCAGGCATATGGAAACTCAAACACCTCTGTTTACTGAGGATCAGGGTCGAAGCTGCTGGGCTTTATCAATTTGCCAAAGTGTCAACAATAGCACAGCGGGTTAATTTGCTAGATTTTTCTTGTGCATATGAGTACAGTGTAGTCTTTATCTATGATGTATATGGATGAAGCTTCCAAAAGCAGTTCTATGAAATTGTTAATTTGGAAAACGCAGGATGCAGAATATTTCTTATTTGTATCGCTGGTCCCCAGCAAAGAGAGAGTTCTGAGCACCATCTCAGTTAGTTAGTTCTTTGGTTCCTGCCTTCATATCACACATACCCAGCAAATTTGAACAGCGCTTTGTGTTTCAGACTGAACTAAAGAAGGCTGGCTTACAGCACCTTTTGTAAGCATTTGCTGTCATCTAATCCAATTGTTTTCAAATGTGTTTTTTACTGCAACTCATAGTCAAAAATACAGTTTATGTTGTGACTCAGTACATGTGTGTATGAGTTTTTAAAAACACAAGCAAAAGTTTCACAAGCAATGCTTATTATTTCTATGAGAATTACATTCCAGTGGTTTCTATTCTAATACATTTTTAAAAATGTGCTGCCATCACTGATCTCATGACCTAGTAATTGGTCACAGTTTGCAATTTGGACATCACTGAGCTAACCCACCAGGCAAAAAACCAAAACCTAATTCCTCTTACATTACAGTAAAAAAAAAAAAGGACACAGACTTTGTAACCAATCTGGAAATGAAGGTGTTTATAGGAGAAATATTATCTTTCTAATTAAAAAAATTTTTAAGTGAGGGGGAAAAGGTGACTTTTATAGTTCTTTTAATATCTGGAATATATTAGTTCCTTAAAAGTAGACTAAAGATATTACACTATGCATTTCATTTTGTTTTATCCCTTATTATATTACAAATCAAGAAGATGTCTTTTGTAGTAAAAAATATTCAGTATGAGTTTGACATACTATCCACATGGGGCATATTTTAACAAATTTCCCATAAGACTCAAAGTTCTGTTCCATGTAGAAGGGCAGCCATTGAGTTATCTCAGCAGGGAGAATACGATAGAATCATCATTGTCCTAGAGGCTTGGGCAGAGCCAGGCCCAAGGAGGAGAATATGACCAGAAAACATATTTTACTTTAATATAAGGACAAAATGAACTTAAAGAATGAATAGAGTCAGAGCAAAATCTCAGTGAGCAGAGATGAGAGGCGATCCTGTACTCATAGAAGGACTGGACTTTATGGCCTCCAACATAATTTGTGTAAAAGTATCAGTTCAGTATAAAACACACAGAAATGTACAGAAACGATATAGTAATATAATCACTTGTCAATCCAGTACAGATATAGGTATTTTGCTTTTTGTGCTCCAGGTGTTTTTTTTTTTAATAATAAATTATTACTGATATAATTAAAATTCTCTCCCATCATCCCTTTCCCTGTATTTCTCCCCAGAAGTAACCACAGTCTTGGAGTTAGATTTATTATTTGCATGCATATTTTACACTTCTGCTACTTGTATTGATAGATCCATAAATACTATATAATATTCTATAGTTTTAATGTACATAAATGGAGATATATAGTGTGTATCCTTTTGCTAATTTTTATCACTCAACATTATGTTTTTGAAGTTCATGCATTTTAACTGCTGATTGGAATCCCATTGAATGAATAAACCAGTTTATTCTATTCTAATATAATTTCTTATTCTCAGATTTTATTATTTGGAGGGAACTCTTACAGAAATTAGTAGTCAAATATGTCTAGTAGCCAAAGGTGTGATTTCATAGAAGAAATTATTGTTCACACTCTATGATGAGAGTTCAGTATCACTTAGGGGCTCTTTAGAGAATGGTTTACATGGAGAAAGTTAGTAGGCTGCAGATTTGCAATCAGCGAACAATCCTTATACCTTCCCATCTATGTCTGTATACGACATAACTATAAAAGCTTAGCAATAGGAAGTACATCACACATCCTCTAATACAGCTTCTGCCCCAGAGCAGGAATTTGATCTCAGCTTTGACATATAGTCACCTCTCCTCACCTTGAACACTTCCATTGATGGCAATCCACTACATTTTTTAAAGTTTTTTAAAATTCTAGTTAGTTAACATACAGTGTAATATTAGTTTCAGTTGTACAATTTGGTGATTCAACACTTACATATAATACCCAGTGCTCATCACAAGTGCCCTCCTTAATCCCCATCAACTATTTCACCCATCTGCCTACCCTCCTTCCCTCTGGTAGCCATCAGTTTGCTTTCTGTGGTTAAGAGTCTGTTTCTTGGTTTGCCTCCTTCTCTTTTTTTCCCCTCTGCTCATTTGTTTTGTTTGTTACATTCCACAAATGAGTGAAATCATATGGTATTTGTCTCTCTTGGACTAACTTATTTCGCTTACCATAATACTCTCTATCTCCATCCATGTCATTGCAAATGGCAAGATTACATTCTTTTTTTTATGGCTGAGTAATACTTGGTGTGTGTGTGTGTGTGTGTGTGTGTGTGTGTGTGTGTGTTTATACACATACATACCAGTATTCTTTATCCATTCATCAGTCTATGGACATTTGGACCATTTCCATAGTTTGGCTATTGTAGATAATGCTGCTGTAAACATTGGGGGGGTGTCCCTTGGAATTAGTATTTTTGTATTCTTTGGGTAAATACACAGTAGTGCAATTGCTGGGTTGTAAGGTAGTTCTAGTTTTAACTTTGTGAGGAACCTCCATACTGTTTTCCAGAGTGGCTGCACCAGTTTGGATTCCTACCAACAGTACAGGAGGGTTCCCCTTTTTCCACATCCTCACCAACACCTATTGTTTCTTGTGTTGTTGATTTTAGCCATACTGACAGGTGTGAGGTGATATCTCATTGTAGTTTTGACTTGTATTTCCCCGATGCTGAGTGATGTTGAGCATGTTTCCATGTGTCTTGGCAATCTGTATGTCTTCTTTGGAGAAATGTCTGACCATATCTTCTGTCCAGTTTTTAATTGGATTATTTGTTTTCTGAATGTTGAGTTTTATAAGTTCTTTATATTTTTTGGATAGAAACCCTTTATCAGATATGTCATTTGCAAATATATTCCCTCATTCCAGCAGTTGCCCTTTAGTTTTGTTGATTGTTTCCTTTGCTGTGCAGAATCTTTTTATTTCGATGAAGTCCCAATAGCTTATTTTTGCTTTTGTTTCCCTTGTCTCTGGAGACCTATCTAGAAAAATGTTGCTAGGGTTGATGTCAGAGAGGTTACTGCCTGTGTTCTCCTTTAGGATTTTCATGATTTCATGTCTCACTCACATTTAGGTCTTTAATCCATTTTGAATTTATTTTTGTATATGGTGTAGAAAAGTGGTCCAGTTGCTGTCCAGCTTTTCCAACACTATTTGTTGAAGAGATTGTCTTTTTCCCACTGGATATTCTTTCCTGCTTTGTCAAAGATTAATTGACCATATAGTTGTGGGTTCATTTCTGGATTTTCTATTCTGTTCTGTTGATCTATGTGTCTGTTTTCATGCCAGTACCATACTGTTTTGATCACTA